GCCTCGGCCGGGCCAGGGGCCCGGTGGACTGCGGCGCCGCCGCCTCTGGCGGATCTGCCTGCTGCTAGCTGCCGTGGTCATCTCCCCTGGGCAACCGAGAGGCCGATCACCGGAGTATTAAAAGTCCGCAGCATTTTATCCATTTTATATTTTAAACTTTTTTTATAGTGGAAACGTTCAAACACACGAGAGAAACCAGTTTCATGGACTCTGTGTACCCATCACCCAGCTCCCACTAGACCCGCAGATTAGGCCCCCTCACGCCCACGCACCTCCTGTGACACGAATGAGACTCCGAGGGTCACTGCTGCCCGGCTCTGGCCTGCCCCCAACACTGGCTTCTTCCTGTTCCTCAGACCACGAGGTTGTTTACACCTCCGCGACTTCGCACCTCCCTCGCCTGCAGACTTTCCCATGCTGCCTTTTTGGCGTTCAGGTCTCAGGTGCAAACTGCCACCTCCTCAGAGCCTTGCTGACCACCCATCGCCCGGTTTTATGTAAATCTCCCCCAACCGGAAGTCATCGGATTACTCACTTGTTTATGTGTTCAGGGCTTGTCTCCCCTCCTGGGCCCTGGGCCCCATGGGCTGGACTGATTCATCTTGTTCTTGCCTCTGTCTCCAGGGCTGAGGACCCAGTTCCCGCTCTGTAAATGCCTGTCACCCAGGTGCACCTTGTCTTGCCAATAGGGCAGACCCTGGGGACTTTGCAGAGGCTCTGGCTCTGGCCGGTTCAGTGCCTGCTGGGCCCAGAACCAGGCCAGGGACAGCAGCAGGAAGGGCAGCTGGTGGGCCCCAGGCCTCAGGGCAGACCTCCCACTCTGTCCTGGAGGGCTAGTGCCAGAAGGCTTGAGCTGGGCGGTTGTGCCCAGCCTCCTGAGTGGCGGGCAGAGGCTGTGAGGTGGTGCGCAGTGTGGGGACGCGCCTCTCGCCGCTGCCGTGGAAGGAGGCCAGGACATGGGCAAGGAAGGGAAGGGCTGGGGCCAGCGGGGAGAGACAAGGGAGAAGCCAAAGAAAGAGGAGGGGTCGAGGTGACAGGCAAGTGACTGGGCCACTAGCTGCGGTCTTGGCGCGCCCACGTCCCCACCACTGACATGGGCCCAGCTCCACCCCCTTCACTGCTATTACCCTCGTCAGCCAGGACGGACAGACAGCGTTTACTGAGCGGCCGACAGAAGCCCCAGCCTCGTGAAAGTTGGTCTTGATTAATGTGTTGCCAGCATTTCATATCAAGAGATTTCACATGAAAATCAGGATATTCATGGGGGCTGTCTGGTTTGCGGCAGCACCCCCCTCACTCCTCCTCCCCCACCCTGCCTCTGACACCGTCTGGTCCAGAGCAGGCTCCAAGAAAGGGGGTCTTTTCCAGATTCTGGAAAGCTGGAGGGAGGATGCACACCCGTTGGTCCTGGAGTCAGAAGACCCTGACTCGCCCTTTCCCACGGCTGGTATGGGGCCCATCCAGGCCTCAGTCTCCTCCTCTGTCCTTCCCTCCAGCTCTGACATTGCGGCGGGGGGAGCTCTGGGAACCCCGCTGGAGGCAGCACAGGCCCTGACCCTCCCACTGTCCACCCCGTCCCCACGGGGACCCGCCATGGACAGAGAAGACGTGGGTGCAGGGCCGTGCCCCTTGAAGTAAGAGGAAAAACTCGTGACTCAAGGAAAGGCAGAAGCTGAGTCAGCCAAGCCACAGGCTGTGGAAAAAATGAGATCTCCCTGAGGACTCTGCTGCTCCTCGGGCAAGAAGCCCTTGCTGAGGGACGGCCGGCTTCCAGACCGTGGGAGTCGGGGCTCCGTGCAGCGCCAAGGTCAGGATTTTCGAGGTAGGGGCTCCGGCAGCCAGCTCTGGGAAACGCCAGTTTTTATTGGATCGTTTATGAGGTTCTGTCCGAGAGCCAAGCACTGCGTAGTATTAGCTCACCCCTCCCCAGGCCGACGCCGCAGCGTTTGGGAGTGAATCTCGAGACCAGATGCTTCAGTGAGAGCGAGAAAACCACGGGGCAAAATGCCGACAACTGGTGACGCCAGGTCTCAGTGACTCTAGGAGGACTTTTTCTGTAAAGGGCCAAACAGTAAGTACTTTGGGCTTGGCCAGCCGGGCTCTCTGAGGCGACCACCCAGCCGCCGGCCTGCGGGGTGCACACAGCCCAGACCGTGGGCACGCACGAGGACGGATGGCACGTGGGCACGCGACGTCTGGACGTCGCGGCATTTCTGTGGGTTACAAAGCATTATTCGTTCAGTTTTTCCCCACTCCTGCTTGGCTTGCGGGTCTCCCAGAGGCAGGCCAGGGTCTGCCAGCCTCAACTTCCCTCCTTGCCACATTTCTGTCACTTTGCGAATAATCGAAACCAACAATTTCGGGGGAGCAGAAAAAGAAAGTCGGGAAAACAAATAAAGAGGAAAAAAAAGGAAACAGAGATCGTTCTGCCGATAACAGGCAGATCTTGACCTTGACTCCAAATGCATTCGATCCCGTGGTTCTCTGAGCCACCTGTGGGGAATGTCCTCGAAACACTGAGTCTCACAGCCACGGAGGCGGGACGAGCGGCCAGGATTCCTATTCCCACGGTGACGGTGATGAGGACGGCTTAGAGGAGGCCCCCGAGGTGTTTGCAAACTGCAGGTTCAAAGAAAACCTCGCAGACCTTTAGGCTTGGGGGGGCTGCGGCGTCGGGCTGGACGGGGGACCCTGCCTGCCCGTGTCCTGCCTCCCCGGCGTCAGCGTCCACCCCGTCTGCCTGTGTGTGTGCCCGCGCTTGTCACTCTAAGTCTGCACATCCTTCCCACGTTTGTGGTCACTGTTTTGCCTTCTTCCCACCGTGGGTTTCCCCACGATGCTCTGAGCGGGCCGAAGGGGAAAACGAGAAGAATGGAGAGAAACCATGGCCTCTGAACGATGCTCGAGTGGGTGAGTAAGTGCCGCACGTAAATACAACCTTCAGGGTGCGTGAGACGCACCGTTTCTCAGACAGCAAAGCTGAGAGGCCCCCGGCAGCAACCGCGCCTCCTGTGGAGGGACAATCTGTAGGTACCCCTCCTTCGGAACATTCCCTCTGGCAGGGTCCACCAAAGCTCAGCACACGCCACCCGTGCCCCGGAAAGTCCATCCTGGGTACATGTCCAAGAGAAGTGAGGGCACGTGTCCACCACCGTCGATGCCCAGGGACGTTATAAAAACACGATTCATACTGGGCCCCAGGTGAGCGCACCCAAATGTCCACCGGGAGCTGAATGGGCGATAAACGGTGACGTTAGTCACACGAACGAACACTCCACGGAGTACGGAGCACACTGCTGCACAAAGGAGCCCGCGCCTCACCATGCCGACGGAGCGAAGCGGACGCAGACGCGGATGCGCTGTGCCCCCTGAAGTTCACAAACGGCGGGACGGAGCTGCAGGGACGGGAACCGGCATAGTGGTTACCCCGGGACGGGGCCGGTATCCACGGGCCGGGCAGCGGGGAGCCGGACGGGTGCCGAAGTGTTTTACAGAATCTCCTCCATCTCGACATAGGCAATGACTCCGTGGGTGTGTGTGTAAACATTTACAAATCTGTACACTCAAGATTTGCACACTGCTTTGTATGTATACCTCAACAAGCTACAGCAAAAGTAACTGGGGAAACTTCGAGCTTGAGTGCTTTAGAGGGTGAGCACATCCTGGCTCCCCGCGTGCCCCACCGCTGGGGCCGGTGGCCATCTAGGCACGGAAGAAGATCACTCTGAGAAGCTTCTGAGTCCCGATTGTTAGCAGAGGGGACAAAAAAAGGCCAGGGCCATTGTCCGTTGTCCAGGACTCTCTCCCGCTGTGCTGTAGGGAGAGGTTCTGCTTACGCGCCTGGGGGCTCCGTGGTGTTTCCTGTGGGGCGGCCAGGGACAGAGCCCCCTGCCCTTTTCCGAAGCTGCAGACGAGAAGGCAGGGTTTTCCCCACCCCCTCGAACCCAGCATGCAGGACTCTGGTGAGTAAGACTCAATCAGCAAAATCAAAGATGAACAACAACAAGAAAACTCAAAAACACCCCACGCCAAATGAAATCTAGCAAAACTAGAAAAAACACGGACAAAACAAAGCGAGACAAACAAGCCATTGAGGCTCGGGATTGGCCTTTCAAAGGCCACGGAGAAACAGCACAGCACAAGTCTTTTCGGGAGGCAGCTAGAATTAACAGATGAAAGATTCCAAAAACAAACTGAGACCCATCACCTCCAGCCCCTAAAGCCGTAAGGGAGGACGAGCGAGAGGACCAAGTCCTGGGAGGACAGCTCGGTAACCCTTCCAGCGGGGGGAGAGGAGGCTGCTGCTGCCAGCGGCTCTGGGAAGAGGCGGAAGTGGTCCCTGGCTTCCTGCCCCCCACCTGCAGGCTTTGCTGCGGGCAGGAAGGACCACCTGGACCCATTGTTTTGATCTTTCCTGGCTGGGGAGCACAGCTAGAGACGGGGACAGATCACGTCCCCATTGTTCTAATCAGGGACCTGGCAAGCAGCTGACGGCTGTGGCTTCTAAGAACAGCTGGCTGACTACTCATCTAGAGCACGCAGCACTTTGATCTCTGATTGCAGTGAAGAAGGTTCTGGACCCACAGGGCAGTGATTGCCCCTGTTTCCTATTGAAGTCGGTTCCAAGCTGTAGGCAGGACTCACGTGCTGGGCTCTGCTCCTGCACTGGTGTGTGTGGGGGGGTGTCCCATCATCCCAGCGGCTCTGCCATCCACAGTGACTGGGGCGCGTACTAGGAGCTCTGCCCGGAGCCTACAGCCAGGCCCTGCTGGAAGTGTGGACAGAGCCTGGTCCCTTTAGAGGCGGTGTTAGAGCCGGGTCATCTCAAGGTATCTGCAGCCTTACATCAGCAGCAGTGACAGTGGCTGTACTCACAGGGCATTTGCTGCGTCCTGGACAGTGGGCTAAGCCTCACGACAGCCCACTCCACGGTCACCGCGTGATCATCCCCTCTCGCTTGTGAGGCAGGTGGGGCTCACGAGTTTAGGGACCTTCCCTTCCCTGGCTGGTACAGGGCAGGCCTGGAGCCGGCAGCAGGGCCGTCTGCCGCCGGAGTGCGTGCTGTTGGCGTGCACGGGGGCGTCCTCGCCGTCCTGGGTCACCTTCACGTCTCTGGGGACTTCTCAGATCGTCATTCACGTCTGTTGTTGAATGGAAGCCGATCCAGATCCTCGTTCTGGGGACCCCTGTGCCTGACCCCCACCCCCTAGGTCTCCCCAGTTCTGCCTTCCTCCTCGTTGGCGTAACCCCAGTATAACTGGGCTCCCTCAGTGTGCGGGCACGTGCCAGTCACAGAAAGGACCCCAGCCACAGACTGACGTCAAGGCTCTGACTGCCCTCGGGCCCCTGCGGGACTGCCATGCCGGAGATGCACTCTCGGGCTCGGCCGGTGTCCGAAAGCCCTTCCTCCCCACGACCACCAGCTTCTTCCCCCCGCTGGACAGCAACGGCCCTCCACGACTGCCTTCCTTCCCCTGGTCCCCCGAATTCTCCCCGACGCTCGGCCAAGGCAGCCTC